CAGAAAATATATTGTTTTGTTTACACCTGAAATTTTTTCAGTGAAAATTTTAAGACTGTGATTTCTGGCGACTACTAATAAGGTGCAAAAGAGCAGTGGCGAAATGTGACTACAACCAATGGAAAAGTAGGCAGCAAAGATAATGTGATCCGCCTCTTGATAAAGATGCATACTACAGTTGAATTAGCAACTACAGTACAATGACACAGTGGCCTTTAGTGATGTAATCCCTGTCAGAGCGAACACATCTGATGACATTCCATTACTGTTAAGTGCAATACTTGGGGAAAACTTTGTAGACAAAGGGAACATAAAACTGATGACTTGGGTGACTTATCTATAAACCAAAATAACATCAACCCACAAATATGCATGTATGAACACTTATGAACTTACCAGTGAGTCTCTGAACACACCACGTCTCAGCTGTCGCTCCAGTGTTGCAGCCTGATTTCTCACTTCCAATTCATAAATTCTACGGCTGCCCTACACATATACAGAAAATATATCAGCTCATACACATATATGCACGTCTCAATACATAACACGTGGTTCCATACTCACTTCAATGTATTCCTCATCCAGCTTCACGTTCTTGTCCATGGCCTGCAGAACCTCTATGTGAAACCAGCGGAACTGGAACAAGACCAGCAATGAAGACGGTTTATGAATCCAATCAGATGGAGAGACTTGAAGAAAAAACTGTTTACTTACCAGAAAAAAAAACATTTAGTTAGAAAAGACAGAAAAAGAATTATTTACCACACCCTCCACTTCAACAGTGAGCTTCCGCTGGGTCTCTGATATCTGAATCAACACGTCACCTGGGAAACCAACAAATACATTAATTAAATAATCGATCATGAATACATATTTAATAAGTGCAGAAATGGAAGAGTGGGTTTTTGTAAACGGTGTTAATATCATGGGGATCGATCGCCAGCTTTTGTGGTTGTGTCAGTTAATGCAGTCGAACCGTAACAAACTAAGAGACCAGAAATAAGCAACTGAATTTAATGATCATCTAGCATTAAAGGGATAGTTCACCATTAAAAGTCATCATTTGCTCACCTTTTTGTTGTTCCAAACCAGTATGACTTTCTTTCTGCTGAAAAACACAAAATAAGATATTTTGAAGAATGTTTTAATTATTTTTGTCCATATAATGAATGTCAATGGGGTCCAAAAAAAATCTTTTTTGGACCCCATTAACTTTCAACGTATGGACAACATTGAAGTACAAACAAGCTCTGATACAGCCAGAAAGTATAGATTAAAAACTCGGTGGCCATCTTGCTGCACAATCTGCCCAACTGGCATTGGTTTAGAGATGCAAAAACACACACATTTTGAGTCTTACCAAGTGATCTGGATGATAATGTGTTGAGAGCTTGCTCGCCCATCTTAGCAAGAGCGCTGAAGTAGGCCTCGCTTGTCAGAGCCAAAGCTTTGATGCACACGCATACACAAAATATCATAAATTTAGACATTTTGTCAGCATTTCCTAATGATAATAACAGCTAAAACCAGACTTTGGTGGTTTGCTGGTTTTCCAAGCTGGTGTTTAGCTTGTCTTTAGCTTGACCAGCTGACAAGTCCCCTCTAAAACCTTCAAAACAGACCAGCCTAAGCAAACAAATCAGGCTAGGAGACCAGATAACTACCATAGGCTGATTTAAGCTAAGCTTGTTTTTTTTCTTCCAGAATAGTTGGTATTTTATTACCTTTGTCAAACAAAACAAAAACAAGCAATATAAAAATATATCAGTTCAAATATTGGATTGGTTAGTGGTAGTTCATATAAAATGACACTATGATTCCTTCATGCATGTTGTAATATTAACCTTGGTCCAATTTGGTAATTCTGATGCATACAAAACATATGGAGAAAGCATGTTATTTATTTATATATATATATATATATATATATATATATATACACACACATACACACACACAAAGCCAATCCTCCCTATATGCAAAGTACGCAAGCTGCGTAGGGCCCCCGAGATAGTTTCGTTTTTGAATTTGGCCAGCGGTTATGACATTTATGTCACTTATGTAATTTCTTTTAACGCGGTGCATTAAAAGAAATTCTGTGAGATACTGTATGTATATATATATATATATATATATATATTAGAGCCCGCCCGATATGGGTTTTTTGGGGGCCGATGACAATACCGATATTAGGGAGTAAAGATACCGATAATGATGTGACAAACATAGGCCTATGTAATGGAGGCAGGGTATTTAACAATAAACTTTATTATTCAAAGTGAGTCTGACATCAGTGCACTTAACAGTAAACTTCACTTCACTTATTATAAATAACTTAACACAAATAGAACAAAATATATATAACTTGAATTAAGAAATTAAACAAGGTAACTGTGTAGGGCAAGCAAGCTACTGCCAAACCAACAGGGGCAGGTTTATGTAAGAAGCACATCTTTTCCAAATGTAAACATCTAAAACGAATAAATAATAATAATGAATAATATTTTTTTCACAAACTCTGTGTTGTGCATTTTCTGGTAATCCAATGAACATGCAGGACATTCGTATTTAAATCGTCGTTTTTGCAGTTTAATATTCACAGACAATCTATATATATATATATACACACACACATACATACACTGACCTGTTTTTTAATTTATTCATCAAAAATAAGACCAATTCCATGAAATTCCGTGTTATACAGTAAATTCCATTTTTATGACTGGATTCCATTTGCTTTGTCACAATCTGTATTGTTAAAAGCGCTATATAAATAAAGGTGACTTAATAGAGCTATTATCAATTATTAGCTCTATTACTTATTAAATTATATTATAATTTAATTATTATATTTTTAATTATTATTAAATTATATACAATTTTGTTTAAAAAACACTAAAAGCTAAAATACAGCTTTTTAAATGCTAGTGTTATTGAATTATTAATGTTTTTCAGTTTAATTGAGTGCAAGATGACAGCAAAAGCTATTTTTATATCAAAACAGGGAAAAATAAGCAAGCACAATTAAACATCCAATAATAACAATAACAAATACTTAAAAAAAAAAATCTGGAATATTATCTAATAACCAATATGGTACCAATATACTGTGCATCCCACCCAGTCTCTGATCAGCCACGTAAAGCGCACAACATAAACCTTAAACGTGCAGAAATAAACAGAGGAAATGAGAAAATTCCAGCTAGAAAGTATGTGTGTGTGTGTGTGTGTGTGTGTCTCACACTTGACTTTGACATGAAAGTTCTGTGCCGCTGCTCTAGGCCGTCTACAGATGATTTTGGAACAGCTCAGCAATGTCCTTTTTTAGCGCATAAAAACACAAACCTTTCCATTTTCATGTCCCTGAATATTGCTGATCTGAGAGGAAGCCGTTTACAGCTACAGGATCTGGATTATGTAAAGGATATAGAGCGGTGAAAAAAAAATCCTCTCAGCTTCCACTGGCAGACTGTCACTTCACAAGCACAAAAAACACACGGAGCAGGAGATTAACTGTCAGCAGACGAGCCGTTTTCAAGCTCTGGCCTCAAAACTCAACGTCCAGTGCTGTACTTTAGTAGAAAAGCTTGTCCTTGTCTTAAAACGCATTGATACCATACTTACTTCTGATTCAGACAAATTCCAAGGACCAGCAGTGATATGATGCTTTTCACTGTAAACAGTAGAGCCCGACCGATATGGGTTTTTTGGGGGCCGATGACGATACCGATATTAGGGAGTAAAAAAAGACAGATACCGATATATCGGCCGATATTCTTTATGTGTAGGCTATATTATAGTACAGTATAGTCAAAAGTCTGGACACACTTCCCATTCGTGTGTCCAAACCTTTGAGTGGTGCTGTATATAGAATACAGTATATAGCCTACATAAACAATATATATAGTAGGGCAAGCAAGCTACTGCCAAACCAACAGGGGCAGGTTTATGTAAGAAGCACATCTTTTCCAAATGTAAACATCTAAAACGAATAAATAATAATAATGAATAATATTTTTTTCACAAACTCTGTGTTATGTATTTTCTGGTAATCCAATGAACATGCAGGACATTCGTATTTAAATCGTCTT